TAAAGGATACCATCCCAGTCCTTTTGCCAGCTAGCTTGGGTCACCCTCAGTTTTATCATCTAAGAAAGGACAGTAACATTGCCCCTGACAACCTCCCAGAGTCATTACAGTAATCAGATGTGATCGTTTATTTTTATAATACTTTAAATATGTAGGACATTTTATAGTTTGCAATACATTTTTTATTATGTAAGCACAAGCCAAAGTAAGAATTATTTTCATTGTTGTAGTACGGTGAAAATAATACAGATTTGTTGTATGTGTTTTACATTTTTCATGATGTTTCTATATTAGAGCAAACTCATAATCAGGATTTATAGGTAGCAGAAAGCATGCAGTTTTAAACGTGGCAGATATTTTTATTGCTAACAGCCTATTCTGTTTTGATTCTGCACGTTGAAGCAATTATTTATCTAATCCTTGAAATACGAAAATAAAAGACATCATTGCAAAACTAAATACTGCAGTTTATAGATTGTGGGCATGTAATAATCACTGTGAATTATATTTGGGAAACACGGGTATTTGGAAGCAGAACTACAGCATGCAATCAGTGCATTAAACACAGCTGCATTTGTCTATTTATGCAGCTTACATCTTGTTTTATACTTTGGACAAGAACATCCCAATCGATGACTGGATTATGGAAACAATCAGCGGTGATCGGCTTACTCATCAAATCATGGATCTCAACCTTGACACTATGTATTACTTTCGAATTCAAGCGCGAAATGCGAAAGGAGTGGGGCCCCTCTCTGATCCCATCCTCTTCAGGACTCTGAAAGGTTTGAATCATTTCCTATTATACTTTTCTTTTCCTGTGAGATTGTTATATAATAAAATAGCTTTGCAGCCTGTGTTGGAAGTGGCCCCACACCATCTTTCTTGGCAACATGGCTTCAGTGGACATGCAAAATAAATTAAATGTACCTTGTTATGCTCAAAGCCAACATATCAAAGAAAGATCTATTGTGTTATCACATTTTCTTCCATCAGCACAAGGCAGATATATTTAACTTGACTTTTTTTCATTTGCAATCCTTATGGAATTTTGTATTGATGTCATGTATATTGGTTGTATTCAAAATATAATGAAACCATTCAGCCATTTTATTTAAGGGAATAAAAATTAAAATGCATTGAATTATGTGAATAGCATGCTATTGCCAACTTTAAATATTTTCTTTCAGGA